GCAGCAAGAGCAGGGGCGGGGTCAGGAGCAAAAGCAGAGGCGGGGCCAGGCGGACCAGTAGGGCCAGAAGCAAGAGCAGGGGCGGGGTCAGGAGCAAGAGCAGGGGCGGGGTGAAGCTCAAGTGCCATCTAAGAGATCAGATTTGTAGGAGGGTTTTGACCCCCGCGTTCTCCAGGTTGTAGCAGCATAGTGTGCTACCCAGCCATGTTCCCTATCGGCTTTGTGTGGCCAAGAGTACGAGTCCTGCGGGTGTTTTTGGCACTGCTGGCTGTACTACTGGCGTCGTCAAAGGTGTGGAAAACCGATGATTTTGAGGACTGCACCTGGCAAGTTGTTCTGAGCAAGTTTGATAGGGTAGGTGACACCCACGTGAGTGACCGCTTCTATGATCAAGAGCCCGTGGATACTGTGGGCAGCGTATTCAGCATGCTGGTGGACTCGCCCATCGATCCGCAGGAGGTGAGGAAACCAGGGTCAAAAGAACCAAAAGGGTCCTGAACTAGTGCCACTTGGCCCTGAACACGTCACCCACCTCTCCTTGCAGAAATACCTGGGCTTCCCTTACTACCTCAAAATCAGCTACTCCTGTGAGGGACAGGTGAGTGGGTTCTACCAGTCTCGTGTCCCGCCCTCCCAATCCAACTCAAGACCTCAGCTTGCTAAGCAAGTGGTAGCACCATCCAACCCTGGGGCACCTAGGGATTCATGACTGGCACAGTGTGGGCACCTATAACTCCCTTGCTCCTCAGGAGCCTGAAGCAGAATTGCAAGTCCAGGGGCAGCCTGGGCAACTTAGTGAGACCCTGTCTCAAAAGATGAAAGGGCGGGGGACACGAAGAGTGTTCACTGGGTTCAGTTTCCACTACTGTTAAAGAAAAAGCCTGTGGTAGCACATGCCTGTAATCCTTGGGAGGCATGAGAAGTTCAAGGCCAGCTTGGGATACATAGTCAGTTCAAGTCCAGCTTGAATTACAGAGCAAGACCTTGTCTCAAAAAAAAAAAAAAAAGAAAGAAAGGATTATCTACGTACAGTTCCCGGTATCTCTGCTCCCACATAATACCTGCTGAGTAAGTGGTTTTTTCTCTTTGGCCATATTTTTTGAGATAATTCACATACCATAACATCCAGCTTTTGCTTTGTTTTGTGTCACTGGGGATGAAAACCATGGCTGAGGCCCTGGGTTGGATCCAGGGGAACGGGGTGGATGGGGACACTGAGATTGACAGAACCCACTCACCAGTCCTGGTGCCTGTCAGGCAAGTGCTGTACCACTGAGATATAATTCAGTATAATTAATACTTTTTGATATAATTCAATATTTGAATTGAATTCAATACTTGAATACTTTGGTATAATTCAATACTTTTTGATAAAACTTACAAAGGTGTACAAGTATCACTATCTTATTGCACGATATTTTTATCCCCAAAATAAATCTTGTACCCACTAGCAGGCGCTACTCATTTCAAACCTCCTTCTCTCCAGCCCCTAGAGAGAAGAATTAATCTACTTTCTTTCCCCGTGGATTTACCTTTTATGAATGTTTCATGTATATAGAATCTTTTTTTTTTAAACAGGGTCTTGGTATGTACAGCAAACTGGTCTTGAGCTCACTATGTAGCCCAGGCTGGCCTCAAACTCTTGATGATTCTGCTGCCTCAGCCTCCCAAGTGCTGGGATTACAGCTGTGTGCCACCACACCTGGCTGCATAGACATAGAATCTTACAATATGTACCTTTTTTACATCTTTTCACTTAGCATGCTTTCAAAGTTCTTTCATGTTGTAACATGCATCAGTACTTCCTTTTTATGACTGAATAATGTTCTGCTATATGGACATGCCATGTTTTGTTTGTCTATTATTAGTTGGGTTATTTGGGTTATTTCCACCTTTTTGGCTATTATAAATAATGCTGCTGCTGGGCGTGGTGGCACATGCCTGTAGTCCCAGCACTTGGGAGGCTGAGGCAAGAGGATCCTTGCAAGTTCGAGACCAGCCTAGGATGCATAAGTGAGCTCAAGGCCAGCCTGAACTGCATGGAGGGACTCTGTCTCAATGAAGTCAAAAATAAATAAATAAATAAAAAGAAAGAAAGAAAGAATGCTGCTATAAACATTTAAGTACAAGGTTTTGTGCTCACACCTGTTTTCATTTGTATTTGGTATATGCCCAGGAGTGGAACTGTTAGGTCAAATGCTAACCCCATTTATTATTTTTTTTTTTTTTGAGACAGGGTCTCACTATGTAGTACAGGCTGGCATTAAACTCACTATGTAGCCCAGGCTGTCCTCAAGCTTGCATTGATTCTCCTGCCTCAGCCTCCTGAGGGTGGGGATCACAGGCGTGCACCATCATGCCTGGTGGCCATTTACTTTTTAAAGGAGTGCCAGACTGTGTTCCAAAGCAGCTGTCTCTGTTGATGCTCTTGTCAGAAATGTATGAGGCTTCCATTTTCTTTACACTCTTACCAACACCTGATACTATCCACCTTTTTGGTGTGCTCAAAGTGATATCTTATTGTGGTTTTTTTCCCTTATAATGATGTTGAACATCTTCTAATGTGCTTTTGTCCATTAGTCTCCATCATTTGGAGAAATGGCTATTCAGATACTTTGCCTATTTTTTTTTTAGGTAGGGTCTTGCTATGTAGTTCAGTATGGACTTGAAATATATATTCCAGGTTGGCCTTGAACATGAAAAATCCTCCTGCCTCAGCCTCCTCAGTGCTGAGATTATAGGCATGTGCCACCACACCCAGGTTTTTGTCCATTTTTAAATTGGGTTATTTGTCCTTATGGTTGTAAAATTCTTTTTATATTTCAATACCAACACTTTATCACATATATGATTTGTAAATATTTTGTCCCCCCCCTTTTTTTTTTTTTGGTCTTTTTGAGACAGGGTCTCACTATGCAGTTCAGGCCGGCCTTGAGCTCACTTTGTAGCCCAGGCTGCTCTTGAACTTGCAACGAACCTCCTGTCTCAGCCTTCTGAGTGCTGGGATTACGTGCATATACCACCACGCTGGGCTTTTTGTCCTGTTCTGTAAGTTATCTTTTCACTTTCTTGATGTGTCTTTTATTTTTTTCTTTTGTTTTTGCTTTTTGAAACAGGGTCTCACTCTGTAATTCAGGCTGGCCTCGAACTCACTATATAGCCCAGACTAGCCTCAAACTCACAGCAATCCTCCTGCCTCAGCCTCCCAAGTGCTGGGATTACAGGCATGCGCCACCACTCCTGGATTGATATATCTTTTAAAAGCAGTGATCCCCAGCCTTTTTGGCACCAGGGACCTGTTTCGTGGAAGACAGTGTTTTTCAGGGAGGTGATGAGTGACTTAGTGACAAGGAGCCCTGAGAAGGCTCTGAGCAGAAGATGGGTGTGATCTGGCTCAGGCAGGAGTAGGAAGACAGTGAGGTGGCAGGAGGTGAGGGTGAACAGGGCCAGGGTGGCAGCAGCCATAGTTGCCCGGGCAGGGATGTGGTCCCGCATGCCCAGTACCTGCTCCTTGTGACTGGAAACATTGACTCAGGCCCAGCAGCAGGTGGAGGAAGGACAGAAAGTGTCCTGGGCGAAAGGCTCCTCAGGATGCAGGGCCAGGCACAGGTGGCAGAAGCTGTTAAATCTCTCCTCTTGGCCCCTCCAGCCCCAGGCCCCCTGCAGCCTTCTCTGGGGGACAGCACTCAGCAACCTCTTGCTGCTGTCCACACATCAGAAAGACCCTCTGTCCCTCCTGCCACCTGCTCTGACTGGCCGCTGGGCAGGGGGTGAGGCAGCAGGGACCTGGAGGCCATTGTAAGGACACGCCTGTTGGGCCATCTCGTCCTCAGCCCTCCGAGGACCTGGTCCGCAGTGGCCACCTGATGGGGCTGAAGCCCCTGGTGCTGGTCACCTTCCAGTCCTCTGTGAACTTCTACCGCTGGAAGATAGAGCAGCTGCAGATCAGGATGGAGGCAGCCCCCTTCCGCTACACAGGTGGGTGGGAGCAGGGCCAGGGAGCCCCGGAGCGGGGGACCCTGGTGGGCAGCACCTCAGTGCCCTCTCCCATCAGGGACGTGCCTGGCGGAGGAGGTGTGCGCCATGAGCTGGTTCATGCCCATGCCCATCCAGAACGGCAGTGTGGTCATGAAGGTGGAGGTCACCAGCAACGGCCTGGGGCCCTTCATTCCCAATAAAAGGTGCCCTTCTCCAAGCCCAGGCTGGGGGCAGGCTCTGGGAGGGGTGCACGGCTCTGATCCCCAAAGGAACAGGGACACCAAAGGGGGGAGTGGGCTGGGAGCTGTGCCCCAAACAGGACCCTCCCCTGGGCCTGCCTGCACCTGCCACAGGTTCCACGTGAATATCAACGGCTTTCTCAAGAAGCAGCATGACACGGTCGACTTCACGCTGGGATTGGAGGTGAGGGCCTTGGGCCGGGCCCCTGCTCACTGAGAACGAGCCGCAGGTCCTGCCCACTCCCAAGCACTGTCTCCATGCTGGGCTGGGCAAGGAGGTTTCCTCAGTGCAGAACCAGCTTCCATCTTTATAGTGACCCTGGGCGAAAGTGCTCGCAATACCCTCCCCTCCTTTTTGAGACAGAGGCTCTGTAATTGCTAAGTTTCCTAGACTGGGCTCGAACTTGTGATACTCCTGCCTCTGCCTCTCAGGGTGCTGGGGTTAGACGTGAATCAGCATACCTGGCTTCACATAACCCATTTTTTTTTTTTTTTTTTGTAATGGGAATCAAACTCAGGACCTTGCACTTGCCAGGCAAGTGCTGTGCCACTGAGCTATATCCCCATCCCTACATACCCATTTTAAAGAGGAGAACACTAAGGCACTAAAGGGAGAGAATGCTTTTTTTAAAACTGTCTTTCTGCATGCATACAAGGATACTTGAAACTGTCTGCTTGCCTCCTGCACCACATTCTTCATCACTGTTTGTCCGTTCAGTCATTCGTTCAGCAATTCTGAACACACACTGTGGCATCGTGGGGACACAGCAGCGAACGCACAGAGCCCAAGCCCTGCCTCATACAGTTGAGATTTCAGCAGGGGAGACAGACACTGAACCAGTACACATGAAAAGCAAGTCCATTTCACCATAGATTAAAAGGTGGCTCTGGGGGCTGGGGATTTAGCTCAGCAGCACAGCACCTGCCTGGCAAGCGCAAGGTCATGAGTTCGATTCCCGGTACCGGAAAAAAACAACAAACAAACAAACCAACAAAAAGGTGGCTCTGGAAGGCTGAAGTAGGAGGACCCAAGTTTGAGTCCAGTCTGAGCAACTTAGTGAGACCCTGTCTCCAAATTTTAAAAGGGGGCTGGAAATGTAGTTTAGTGTGAAGGGACTGAGTTCATAAAAATCTTAGTCCTGCAAAAGAAAGAAAGAAGGAAAAGAAATGAAAAGAAAGAAAGAAAGGAAGAATTGGTAAGTGCTTTGGAGAGAAACCAAAGAGGGCGAGGGGGATGGGTCTGCACAGGAGGAGACTGAGACCTTTAATAGAACAGTCAAAGAAGGCTTCTCAGGAGTTGACCTTGAGTAAAGCCTCAGAGGACAGAGGGGTCATGTGGATACAAGATCTTTTCTGGCAGAGGGAACAGCCTATGCAAAGGCTCTGAGGTCACATTGTGCCGGGTACATGTGAGAAGCAGGGTGGAGGCCATAGGGCTGGGCAGAGCGATAGAGAATAAGGTCAGGGAGATGACAGGGGAAATGGTGGGGACCTTGTGGTCAAGTGAGGACTTTGGCTTTTCTCTAAACGAGAGAGAGCTATGGGAGGGTTGGGGAGTGCTGAGAAGCCCCATGGCCTCCCCTGGCAGCTCTTTGACCTGGCGCCCCAGTACTTTGTGAATACTGCCTCGAGGCCCCTGTGGTACACTCTGGACCAGTCACCCGTACTCATCCTGGGTGGCATTCCCAACGAAAAGGCCATCCTCCTGAGCGACACCAACTTTGAGACCTTTTCTCTTGTAGAGGTGAGTGACACCAGGCTGGCAGGGACTTGGGGACTACTGAGGATGTGGGACTTTGCCCTTGAATGGGGCCAGGGTCTGGGGCTACAGAATAGGACCCAAAGACACACCATTCCCCAGGAAGCATGAAGGGAGCTCTGCCTGCCAAGTGGCCTAGGTTCAAATCTTATTTCTTCTAATTCCTAACTGTGGGGCCTTGGGCAAGTCACTTTACCCAAGTGGTTTCTTTTGCCACTGATTTCAAATTTCATTGCACTATAGTCTGATAATATGCATGGGATAATTTTCATTCCTTTGGATTTACTTAAGCATGTTCTATGAGCTAGAATGTGACCTATTTTGGAGAACATCCTGTGTGTAGCTGAGATTGTGTATTCTGATGTTATGGGGTAGAACACACTGTAGACATCTACTAAGTCCATTTGTTCAAAAGTCTGGCTCAGTTCTGATATTACTTCATTAATTTTTGTCTAGTTAACCTGTCTATTTGTGGGGTACTGAGGGCCTCCACTGTAATTGTATTATTGCTTATTTGGTGTTTTATGTCTGTTAATATTTGTTTTATATAGTTGGGTACTCTGGTATTTGGTGCATATATATCTGTGATTGTTACCTCTTCTTCTTGTTCCCTTTGCAAGGATATAGTGACCTTCTTTGTCTCTCTTAATCAGTCTTGCCTTGAAATCCACTTTGTCTGCAAATAAAATAGCTACCCCTGCTTTTTGTTTTGTTTTGTTTGTTTTTGTCTCTTTTGAGACAGGGTCTCACTATGCC